AGCATGAAGCCAGGTACGAGCAGAGGATGGGAATGGAGGCAGCAGAAAGCTAGCCTGGAGAGAGGAGTTTTGGGGAGGAGATGGAGGCTGTTGGCCCATGGGATGCAGCTCCAGAGACAGAAAGGGAAAGAGGCACCAAGCGCCTAGCTGGGAGGAGGCACCAAGCGCCTAGCTGGGAGGAGGCGGAGGGTTTGTTAGAGTGAGCAGTGATGGCACAGAGGGAAAACACAGGCCGCCAAAATGTTACAAGAGTGACACATGGTTAATAGGCATGGTATCGTCCTCACAGCTGTCTGTACACAAAAGTTCTACCTACACTTGCTTTTTACCTGGTCCATCACTAGGGTTCCTACAGTAAATATAAATAATACTTGGTGTTCTAGGCTTAGATCAATTCCAATTAAAATGGCTTAGAACGTGGCTGCATGGCTTTTGGGAGAAAAATTTGACAGGGGGGATGATGCGGGCAGCCATTGTGGACTGACTGGAGGCAGGAGTCAACATTTCGATAGTGACTGAGAGATGACAGGTAGCTTGGGGACAGGCTCTGAAGGGCTTTGAAAGCGAAGACAAGCAGCTTATGGTTTGAACCAACAGAGAAGGGGGAGCCAAGGAAGGGGTGCAAAGAGAGGGGTGACATGGTCAAGGCAACAGGCTGGGAGAATAATCTTGGCAGCAGCATTCTGATCAATGTAGCACTAATCAAGCTGTGAGATGCTGAGAATCTGAATGAGAACTTTCCCTGAGTGGATGGAAAGGAAAGGTCGTATCTTAAAGGTATTATGCAGAAAGAATCTACAAGGTTTAGACAGAGAGTCTGGAGATGAGGGACTAGACAAGCAGATCCCACAATAGCTAGAAGCAAAGTGTTTCCCCTTTCCTTCCTGTTACTGACTGGAATACAAGCATTGCTAGTCCGAATACTTGCAATCTTCATCCGGAGCTATTTCAGTACAACAGCTTTGATCATTATAGCCTCTACCTTAAAACCCAGATTTTATTTAAGAGGGTCAGAGCTCAAGATGATAAAACATTAACTCAGTCTTACTTCATTAAACCAGAACTGAAGCGGATGTGCCTTAACAGAAACATTATTTTTCTTATTTCTCAATAGTGATGCTCTTTCATGTTGCATATATGGTCTGAACTTCAGCTGGAAGTATCCAATTATTTCAGTTCATTTTAACCATGCTATGGCACATCTTATATTAAGTTGCTACCGTGAACTTAAGCATCCGTCCTGCCTAACCAAAGCACTTTGTACAACGCTGTTAAGATACACCCAACTTGGTAGGCCCAAAATTTGACATAATGGCACATATTTTGACTGCCATGCATGACAACAAGGTCCAGTGGATTAAGAGCAGATCTGGGAGCAAGGAACTCCAGAAGTCTAAAGTAAATCAGCCTGGGTTTTGGGGTTAAACAACTTACTCAAAGTTGCACAAACTGTGCTTCTGCTCATCCCCTCTGCAAAGCGGGGAAAATACCTTCCCTTCCCTGCAGAATTGCAACAATTAATATTTCTACAGCAATTTGAAGAAGGACAGCACTAACTACATCAGCATTAATGCATTAGTGCCAGTTTTACATGAGAAAGAGATATACATCTCAAGGGTTGGTGGGTTGGGTATATTTAGCAGCAGAATTGCCAAGGAAAAGGTGACTGGTTCCTGTACCTTTTCTAATACTAAATTTGTTTGGCCTAGTATGTACTAAGCCCATGGTAATCTGCTTCAAGAGGTAACAATACACTCATTTCAAATCAGCACTGGCCACCTGGCGTTGTATTGTCCTTAACCCTTAAGGTCCGCATGCCAGGTACAGTACATCTATGAAACACCTTGCCTCCAGGTGGCCCTGGCCCTGCCTAAGTCAGTACATTGCAGCAGCTGTTCACAATGGCTGTACAAAGATACTACCGTGGCAGAGGCTGTGAAACTGGCCTGGAGCCAGCAAGACCTCAAAGCTGGTGCTCTCTCTGCCCCAAGGACCCAGTCATTCTGTATACAGAGTTCCTGCTGAAGTAAAGGGGAATACTGAGGGAGATCTAATTGAGAGAGACTGCAAGACAATAAGACCAAAATCTGAAGGGTGGGGGGGGGGTTCAGTGTGAATGGCTGATTTCCAGAAAAATGTCAAGCACCCACAATTCCAGCTGAAGTCAATGAGATGTGCAGATACGCTGTGCCTCCGACAATCCAGCTCTGGTGTTTCAAACCAGGCAACTAAATTCAGTGGCCACTTTGTTAAACATAGAAAATAGGCCAACATTTTCTGATCGGGTCATTTTTAACTGCATTCACTTTTAGATCATGGGTGAGTCATACCAGCCCTCTAGAAACCCTTACAATACAGACTCTCTTCTCTCCATTATTTTGTCACACTCACTGACTATAGATACCTCCGGTTCCCCTCATCACTTCAGCCATTTAAAAAAAATAAATAATAAAGCATGTTTCCAAAACATTCCAAATTGCCCGTGGGGTGTTTGTGTGGTTGGTAAAACAACCTCCAGAAAAAGCCTTACATATTAAGAGGCTGTGAAGCACAAGGATGCAACCTTATCTTCCAAGTGAGGATGAACTTCAACCCACATTTTTTAGCTAGCTGACTAGCATATTCCTGTGCAACTGCATTCATTAACTTCACTGCCATCTTTAAACCCTCAGCGCTACCCAAGAGAGCAATTGTATAGTGCAGAAGCTTGACATTTTATAATATAATAGCAGTAATTAGTACACCTTTAGTGTAGTACCTGGCATATTCAGCAGAACTATAAAATGGCACTGATTAACTTACATGACCCTTTCCAACATATTCTGCTTTTTGTTGTTGTTTTTTTGTTCCACCTTTAAGACTAGTTTGAGCATGTTTTCCCACTTCCATGTTTGGAGGCAGAGCCAGGGCAGTGGCTAAACTGGAGTGGGATAAGGGAGGAGAGATTCAGAGTGCTCAGTACTCCATGTGTTACTTTCTAGCCCTCCTGTATCTATCCCTGAGCAACAACATCCAGCCCCATATTCTTCCCACAGTTATTTCAGCTTACAAAAATGCACTTATCTAGTGGTCTGGAAACACATATCTGAAGGAATATTTGGCTTGAACAGAGCCTTGAGATGATCATATTTAAGGAACAAACACCTGATGCAGAAGATTTCTGTATCATATGTATTGTATTTTCAGATTTGGTTCTAAAGTGTTAAACGTGATATTCACAGGGAAACTGTGCCCCTTGAACACATATTGTTTGTGCAGAAACTTGATGGTGGCAAGAACAGGAATAGCAAGTAGGCCTTTTACCATCAGAAGATCATGGGGGAAGGGAAGAGAAAACGGAATTATATCAAGTCAATATTAAGAGGAGATATTTGCTCAATATCTCCTCTGAATACACTGCATCTGAGAAGTCCACTAAGAAATTATTCCTAGTTGTTGGTCAACTGACCAGCACAGTAACTCAGCTTTACCCTTCGACTGATCTTTACCTATTCATGGTAAATAGGCCCAATGCCCTGTGATGGAATGTTAGAGGGGGTGGGATCTGAGTTACTACAGAGAATTCTTTCCTGGGTATCTGGCTGGTGAGTCTTGCCCACATGCTCAGGGTTCAGCTGATCGCCATATTTGGAGTCAGGAAGGAATTTTCCTCCAGGGCAGATTGGAAGAGGCTCTGGGGGTTTTTCACCTTCCTCTGCAGCATGGGGCACGGGTCACTTGCTGGAGGATTGTCTGCACCTTGAAGTCTTTAAACCATGATTTGAGGACTTCAATAGCTCAAACATAGGTGAGAGGTTTATTGCAGGAGTGGGTGGGTGAGATTTGGTGGCCTGCATTGTGCAGGAGGTCAGACTAGATGATCATAATGGTCCCTTCTGACCTTAATATCTATGAAATCTATGATTGCCAAATTTGACAGGAAGTTGAAAAATACTATGCAGCTTATCACCTGATCATTGACCCAAAGACAAAAGGAGAGGGAAGAGAGGGTGGTTGGGAAACATTGCAAAGTATCCCCCAAATGCACACTAAGATGCTTTTCCACCACCAGAAAGACACCATCAAACAGATCGGAGCTTGCATGCTCCAGGCTGACAGAGCCAGTGACCAGATCCCTCTAACCCACAAGCCAGCGCTGTCCACTAACATGGGGCACCAATGAAGAGGGTCAAAGGAATATTTACACAATATCACAGAGCTAATTCAGGGGGGCCTTGTCCCACAATAAGGGGGGCAAAGGGGTGCACCAGGAAGACCCCTAACCCACACTTCAGGGTCCCATGTAACTCAGGAATGGAAGGGAGAAGGTTTCAGAGCGCTGGGACAGGGTGCAACTACCCCACCCACGGAGAAGGGGCTTCCCATGACGGTATCAAATCCTTGTGGGTGCTGCTCCCCCTCTCAGCCCTTAGCATCCTCTGGGAGGGGACCTGAGCCGAGAGCAGAGGCACCAGCGCCCCGGGGAACGAGGGGGCCGTCCAGGCAGGGACCTAGGTGACAGCTGGGGCTGCTGGGCCAGTGAGGAGGATGCCCCACAGCAGGCTGCCGGCCGCCCCCCAAGCTGGTCAGGGGCTCTGAGCCCCACAGGGCGCTGCGGGGGGGGGGGAACTAGACCATCCCCCCCGTTCCCCAGAGGGGCTGTGGTTACACCTGTGCCCCGGGGCAATTCCTCGCCCAGCTCCTCTGCAGTTGGGGGAGGTTACCCCTGGGGGGTCCTCCCCTCCAGCAACAGGGGGCAGCCAGCACCTCCCCAATACGATACTGAGGGGGATGACCCCCCCAATTCAGGGCTGGGGGGCGACCAGGAGGATCCCCCCATTCGGGGCAGCCAGGGGGACCCCCCCATTCGGGGCAGCCAGGGGGACCCCCTCCCATTCGTGGCTGGGGGGCGGGGCAGCCAGGGGGACCCCCCCATTAGGGGCTGAGGGGCGGGGCAGCCAGGGGGACCCCCCCCTTTCGGGCTGGGCGCGCCCCTCCCCCCGCGGAGGGCTCCCACTCACCGGCTCGGCCCCGCGCTGCCCCGCTGGGTCCCCGCGCTGCTGCTGCTGCCGCCGCGGCCTCTTGGGTCCCCCGCGCTGCCGTAGGCGCTGGGCGGGGCTCCACTCCCAACCGGCCAATCAGTGCTGAGGGGGGCGGCATTCTGCCCGGTGAGTGGCAGCAGCCCCAAACACCGACAGCTTCGTCAGCCAATCAGCGAGGGGAAGGGGGAGAGGGGAGACGGGAAGGTGAGCTGGGAAAGGGGGGAGTTGGCAGCTGCACCGGGCACTGCCCCCCCCCCAGTCACTGGCCCCTCCCTGCGCTGCCCGCCCTCACTGCCCTGCACCGGGCACTGCCCTCCCCCCCCGTCACTGGCCCCTCCCTGCGCTGCCCGCCCCTCACTGCCACTGCCCTGCACCGGGCACTGCCCTCCCCCCCAGTCACTGGCCCCTCCCTGCGCTGCCTGCCCCTCACTGCCCTGCACCGGGCACTGCCCTCCCCCCCAGTCACTGGCCCCTCCCTGCGCTGCCCGCCCCTCACTGCCTTGCACCGGGCACTGCCCCCCCAGTCACTGGCCCCTCCCTGTACTGCTACTGCCCTGCACCTGTACTGCCCTCCCCCCAACCACTGGCCCCTTCCTGTACTGCCCACTCCTCACTGCCACTTCACTGCACCAGGCAATGCCCTCCCTCCCCCCCAGTCACTGGCCCCTCCCTACACTGCCCACTCCTCACTACCACTTTGCTGCTCTGGGCACTGCCCTCCCCTCCCTGCCACTTCACTGCACCAGGAACTGCACCCAGCATGCACTCACGGCACCCTGTACTGGGCCTTGCACCCTATGCTGTCCGCCCCGACTGCATCGGTGACTGCCCACCCCCATTGCACCCAGGACTGCCTGACCTTTCCACTGCCCATCCCCCACTGCACCCTGCACAGGTACAGCCTTCCCTTCACCCCCCGTACACTGGGTACTGCCCGCGCCCGCGCACTGCACCAGGTATTGCCTGCCCTCACCCACCCTCAGTGACCATCTCTCACTGCACCAGGCATGCACCTCGCGCTGGGATTTCCCACCGCTCACTGCTCCAGGCACTGCAATCCTGAACTGGATGACTAGGTTACTGCATGTTCTTCACAGGATCTTACTCACTACATGTACACCACTGCATCATGCTCGTGGTGCAACCTTGCACCATACAACGGATCACGGTGCCCGCTCACTGTGACCTGCTTACTACCCTTGCTCATGGAGCCACACTGTGCCGCACCGCACTCCCTAAGCTGTGCTCTGGTCACTCTATTTCACAAACTGTTCAGTGCTATGTACTGTACTGTAGTGTGATGTGTCCTGCAAATATCACACTAATGCTTTACAACTCAGACAAAAACAAAAAATAATAATTCCAGGCTTAATTCCAGAAGAGGGGCATTCAAGTACTTCGTATTGTTATTTATTTGGTTTGCAATAGTGCCTAGAGTACCCAGTCAGGGCTTCATTGTGCTAGGCACTGTCCAAAACATAATAAAAAAATAGTCCCTACCCCATGGCAATAGGATCTGGTAACTTTATTTATGTATTTATCATGTGAGTTTCTTTCCGTTGATATCTTTTGTTTTCTGCCATCTCCAAAGGAAATTCAGGTAAAGCTCAGTGGTTTGAGCATTGGCCTGCTAAACCCAGCCTTGTGAGTTCAACCCTTGAGGGGGCCATTTAGGGATCTGGGGCAAAAATTGGGGATTGGTCCTGCTTTGAGCAGGGGGTTGGACTAGATGACTTCCTGAGGTCCCTTCCCACCCTGATATTCTATGAAAGCAGAATTTAGGACAGAATGATTCTTGTTTTTTCATTTATGGCCATCGTGACTCACCCTTCAATGGCATGCACATTCTCTCACGTCAAGCTGCAAGGCCAGGTGAAAACAATCGATCCAAATATCAGCTGCAGTGCCGACTTTAAGTGTGGAATTGCAAATTCCACTCAGGGTTAGCCAAGAGCTGGAGTCATTTTGATATGATAAGATCTTCACAACAGTACTGGGACAAGACATGGAGCACGATGCAACACGTCCTCAACAGCGCGACAAGATGTGCAATGCTGCCAAACTGTACAAAAGTGTCAGGTATCTCAGGGCTCTGTCAGAGGCGGATCCAATCCAGCCAGGATGGGGTTAAGTGCTGTATTTTGGGGGGGAGAGACCCTGTACCCAGCTAGGAACAGATACGGTCTTTGAGACAGGGACTGATCTCAACCGCTGTCATGCAACATCAGTAGGCTTGGAAGGTTTCCGTTTTTGTCAGTAAATGTCAGTTTCACCGTACACACATAAACCAATAATCAAAATACTTCCACCCATGATCATAGAAATTTACAGATTGGCAAAGTAAGAAAAATGCTGCTTGAGTCTGATTTGAGGAAAGTGACTTGTATATTTTGATACATGATGCTGGCAATTTGTGTTTCAACCATTATAAAGCTTTAAACTTTTGAATCTCAGTGTCCGCTGTCATGAAATAATTGTCTGACCCCCTTCTATTGTCTGATCTCTCCCATAATGTCCCACGATTGTGAAAATATAAATCAATAAAAATGGGGGTAAATCTATATTAGCCCTCAAAATTATCACAGATAAAAATCAAATTCTGCCAGGCCTGCACATCCATAATAAATAATAATAATTTAGAACTGAATAGGATTTAGCTCTGCCACAGACTCACTGGGCAAGTGACTTTGCATCTCAGTTCTCCATCTGTCTGAGGGGGGAAGCATGGTCCAGGGGCTACTGCACGGGGCTGGGAGCTAGGACACTTGGGTTCCATTTCTGACTCGCTGTGTGCCACTGGGCAAATCACTTTCCCCACTCTGTGCCTCAGTTTCCCCATAAGGATAATGGCACTGACTCACTTTTGTAAAGTGCTTAGAGATCTCTAGATGAAAGATGCCTATACAATTGATAAATACAACTATTTTATTTACTAGTAAAAGGGTGATGATAATCCCGGTCTGACGAGCCTGCTCTGTTGCTTTGTCTTTGCCAAGTGTGTGGATAGCAAAAGGTGAAAGGTTCAGTGTAACAAACTGCTAGTCTCACTGCCCAGGCGAGTGAGCCAACTGCTGGAAAACAGAACAGAAAGTGCCCTCCGTATTGAACAAACTATTCCAAAGCATGTTGACATCCCACATGTGGTGGAGCATTGGAAGATACCGTTCAATACCAGCCCTGAAAAACTAAGATAAATGGTGAGCCTGGGAAAGAATTAGGGCTGATAACAAAGGGCTTAATGTGGAAAGCAAACGCTTTCAAAGCTGAGGTCTACGGACTGGATGTAAAGCTGACAATCAGTTCTGAATCAGCACATTACTGCACAATGCCTGGAATTCAGGGCTTCCTTTGGGGCTTTGTACAGAACCACTATCTCAGATTTCTATAGTGACTTTCAATCCAAAGGATCCCAAAGCATTTTTCACACTATAGGGGAATCACTTCACATGCTCCCAAAATGCAGCCGGCCCTGGGGTGGAGCACCAATTCAGGACAGCAAAGAGGAACACTGCTTCAGACTTCATCTGCAAGAGGACCGTAGGGAGGCAGAACTCGAATTCAGTCAGGATGCTGGGACTAGTACCCGAGCTTCTGTACCCGAGAGATAAAGTCCCTATAAACATGGTCACATGCTATGTTTCTGGGATATTCCTGCCATTTACATATCCTCCAGGAGCACCTCTGAGATCCCCTGTCTGAGACAAACCCTGTAATCAGATCAGAGGAGACAGCTCTGCTGGGGTCTGTGGACCTTGAAGGCCAGCCCTGTCTGTACTTACTTGCCTAGGATCACAGAAACATTTATTAACACCTGAAGCCAGAGCTTGGGCAGGAAGGGCCATTCAGGACAGCAGTTCCTATGACCTTCTCAGGGACCTAGGCTGAGTCAGCAGAGCTTGTCCTGTTCCTTGGAGTGCCCGCTGCCTCCTATCCCCACACACTCAGTCACTGACCAGGGGGCTTGTGGCGAGGCTGGAATCTGCAGCAAATGCAGCAGGCTAGAGCAGTGAAATTGCATAGGAGGTGGGCAGCAGTGAAGCCCCTATCCTGATGGGGGGCCCCAGTGCAGGAAGGGGAGCCTAGAGCGTCCCTCACCCCAGTGGGGCCCCAGTTGCCCTGCTCACCGCAGTCTGCCTTGGCTGTCGCTTAGCTTCCAGCTGCAGCTGGAGGAGTGGTGTCTGAGCTGTGGTGCTGTGGATGATCTAGGAGCTGCCTACCTCAAAGAGGGGAGACTGCTGCAACTGCAGTCAGTGGAGGCGCTGGATCCACCAGCCCTTCCCTTTGAAAAAAGGGAGCTAGTGGCAAGGGGTTTCCCACAGGGGGTTCCTGGGTTAGGGTTAGGGCTCGGTCCAACAGAGGCTAGATTTGTCACCCTATAAGGCATGCTGCAGAGCCATTGATTTCCTCAGGCTTTAGATAAGGGGGTGGGGGAGTGCATGGCCTGAGGATTGTGAGGTGGACAGCTGTCAAGGATTGTCATTCTGGGCATTATTTCTAGAGCTCTGCAAATCTGAGCTATCCACAGACCGTGTCTGCCGATTGCGGATCGGATGCAGATACAAATTTTGTATCCACAGGGATACTGGTCTAGTTTCTTTGCCAGTTCATTGGGCATCATCTGGATGTTGTACTCCTGTTTTTTGTATACATGTTAAAGGCCATTAAAGCAGCTGGAACTGCTGTATAGACCCTGAAGTAAATTAAACTGGACTCAGAGGGTAGCCCCCCAATAAATAACACCTAACTCTTACAGAGCACTGTTCACCTGCAGGTTGCAAAGTCGCTTTACAAAGTGGTTCGTGTTGCTGGCCCTTTTTAGACAAGTGCACACAAGGGAAGTGACTTGCCCAAGGTCACTCAGTGGACGAGGGCTGATCCATGTCTCTTGAGTTCTGGTCCAGTGTTCTACCCCCTAGGCATCACTGCTGCAAACAGCTGGTGGCTCATGCAGCTCTTGTTTGTTTGCATTCTGGAAGGTGCTTTCCAATAAATCCAGCAGTCTGCAAACTCTGACCTGAGGGGGATGTACTTTGGCCAGATTGTCAAGGAATCTGTCTCTAGTAAAACTAGAGCAGGAGGATGA